AGTTTTGAGGGGACATTCAATCCACAGCAACAAGCAACCACAAAATCTTAGTGGCATACAACTGCAACTAGTTAGGTTTCTCAGTCATATGTATATAGATCAGCTTAGTGTTAGGCTGAGGTCTGCAAGTCAGCTGGATTTGGTTGTTGGCTGTGGTCTGTTCCATGTCTCATTCTGGAGCCTAGGTTGAAGGTGCCTACCAGGGTCACACTCTTGATATCACGGAGATTAGAACACTTAGAAAGAAAAAAGGAAACATGCAATGCCACTTAAAGCCTAGCTTCAGAGCTGGCAGTCTGTCACTCTGCTTATATTTCCTTGGACAAGCCTAACATAAATGAGATGGGAAAGTGTTTTCTCCCACAGAGGGGTGGGGTTGAGGGAGGTACATAGTGGATATTTTCCAAACAATAACCTAACCTACAACATGTGCTTACAAATTTGGAATGGTTATATGTTCTTGTTGGATCGATTCTTTTATAGTTATTAAATGTGTCTTATATCTCTACTAATTTTTTTTGTGTTAATCTTATTTAGATATTAATATAGTTAAACTAATGGTTTTTTGGCGGGGGAAGTTAGGTTTTGCTTGGTATATGTTTCTCATCCTTTTACTGTCATCCTTAAGTGTCTTTATATTTTAAATATGTCTATTATAAGTAACATATCTTTGCATTTTGTTTTTTAATCCAATATGGGAATCTTTACCTTTTAACTGGGATGTTTAGTCAATTTACATTTAATGTAATTATTCATATATTCTGATATAAATTTACCATCTGACTGTTTTCTATAATCTCCATCTGTTCCATATTCCCTTTTTCACTCCTTTCTTGTCTTGTTTTGAATTTGCTAAGAATTTTTATATTACAATTTTCTTCTGTACTAACTTATTAAATATACTTTTTCCCACTATTTCACTGGTGGTGCTAGAGATTACAACATGCATTCTTGTCTTATTATAGCCTATTGTAAAGTAGTACTTTTGTTACTCTCCAAATAGTGCAAGGACCTTGGTATCTTTTAATTTTATTCTCCTTTCCTGCCTTTTGTGCTATGGCTGGCATGTGTGTGTGTTTTCTTCTGTACTAACTTATTAAATATACTTTTTCCCACTATTTCACTGGTGGTGCTAGAGATTACAACATGCATTCTTGTCTTATTATAGCCTATTGTAAAGTAGTACTTTTGTTACTCTCCAAATAGTGCAAGGACCTTGGTATCTTTTAATTTTATTCTCCTTTCCTGCCTTTTGTGCTATGGCTGGCATGTGTGTGTGTATACATGCATATTTTTAATTTCACATATATTTAATTGTATATATATATATATATATATATACACACATAGAGAGAGATTTAATTCTCTCTATATTTCAAATATGTATTTAAATATATATTTTAAATATATTTTAATTGAAATCTATCATATTTTAAATATTTATTTAAATTTATGTTTTTTGGGATTAGGTCCAGGCAAGATGGCTGACTAGAGATGTCTGGCACTCATCCCTCCCACAAAAAAGGACTAACACAACTAATACACAGCTCAAAATTGAGGAGAGGATCTGTGGGAAAGTGTGAGTGCAGCAAGAGACCGGTGAAATCCCCGTGGAGCATGAAAGCCCAGGATAGCAGCATAGAGAGGCGAGAAAAGTACACTACTTCAGCCACCAGGATGAGTGCAGGAGGGACTTTTCCTTGAGGTGATCAGGTAAGCAGAAGGCCCTCACCAACCTCCATTCTCACCACAGAAACCTGCAATTCCTGCTGGAGGAGAATATCACAGCCCTTATAAGCCCAGTGCCAAGTGTGGGGAGCTGCCTAGTATACATGCACTGTACCGCTCCAGAATAGGAGCACACATTGTGCCCTCCCTCCCTACGTCCACCTTCATGGCCCAAGCCATTGCAGTACTGCAGCATCCTGAAACCTTAGCTTCTGTTGGAACATGCCCTGCTCTGGGGCCAGTAGCTATTGCACTTCTCTAGCCTTAAGGTTCCTCTGTCATCCCAATGCACTCACATGAATGGCTACAATACCACGATCCTGGCAGTTTGGATCCTGGGCCCAGGAGTAGCTGTGGCTCCGGTTCTGTATGTCTGGGAATCCAACCCCAGGCCAGCTGAACTGAACTGCTGCACCTCACAACCTTGGCCAGAGATCAGACAGGTGGACCTGCCTCTCCTCCACCTCCAGCCAACTGAGCTCTGTGTGCCCATCCCACAACCTGAAAAAACAACTCTGGGGTTTCTACTCTAATGAAGGGTCCCTACCCTAATGAACATTCCCCTGAGCTGGTGAAGCTAAAGCATATTTGCACCCTCCAACAGGAGAAGTGGCTGGGCTGTTCTGCCCTTGGCAGGTTCCCTCTGTGATGTCACCCCAGGCCCAAGAAGTGGCTGGGTGGCCTTGCCATTGTCAGACACACTCCCAAGCCAACCCAGTGAAGTGTGATCTTGCCGCGCAGCCCTGAGAAGTAGCTAAGCAGCTCCACCCTTGGAAGATACATTCCCAAACCAACTGAGGAAGCACAACCTCACCCACAGCCCCAAGAAGCAGCTCAGCAGACCAGCCCCTAGAAGACCCACACCCAGCTAACCAAGCCAATATGTGTCTATACCCCAGACCCAGAGAAACAGCCTGGCTGTCCTGCCCCTGGTAAGCCCATCCCTGGTCAGAGAATCAGCAAGGTGACCCTATCACCAGCAAACTAGTCCCAGAGCCCCTAATAGGTCACATGCTTAGCCTGAGAATCAGCCCAGCACCCCTTATATGATATATAGTTTGCAAATATTTTCTCCTATTTTGAAGGTTGCCTTTTCATTCTCTTTTTTGTTTCCTTTGCTGTACTGAAGTCTTTTAGGGTCCATTGACAGATGACTTGATAAAGAAAATGTACATACGATGGAATGTTATTCAGGCTTAAAAAGAAGGAAATCCTGCCATTTGTGACAACACAAATTAACCTGGAGGACATTATTCTAAGTGAAATAAGCCATTCACAGAAGGACCAATACTGCATAATTCCATTTATATGAGTTAATTTCCAAAAAAAAAAAAAATAAGGAACTCTTACAGCTCAGTAGCAAAACAAAAACAAAAACAAAAACAAAACGGTCAACAGGTATATGAAAAGATTCTCAACATCATTAACTATCAATGAAACGAAAGTCCAAACTGCAGTGAGATATCACCTCACACCTGTTAAGATAGCTACTATCCAAAAAAAAAAAAAAAAAAAAAATTAAGGGTTGGCCAGTTAACCCTTGTACACTGTTGATGGGAACAGAGAAGGGTACAGCTGCTATAGAAAACAGTATGGAGGTTTCTCAAAAAATCAGAAATAGAACTACAATATGACCCTGCAATCCCTCTTCTGTTATTGTTGTGAAGTTGCTCACACAGAGGAATTCAAGACCAACATCAATATTACAGCTTTCTATTGGTCAACAACTCTTTTCGGTGTTACAGCTTTTTATCACTTGCAACCAAGGAGAGAAGGAACATCAAGCTCCAGTCTCCCCCAAGGATGGAAAAGGCCCACCTTATATAGCCAAAAACTTCCCGCCCAAGTTCCCATTTAGGTCCTCTTATGCAAACGAGGGATGCAAGTCTGTTAGTTCTGATTGGTTGGCTATGGGACACAGCTCATTGGTCAATTCTGGAGCCTAATTTGCATTCTGCCCTCGGGGCACTGCAAAACCGCTGTTACTTTCCCTCAGCACAGGGTGCAGGAAGCAAGTTAGGTTACAGAACCTAAAGTTTGTGATTAAAGCAGCCAACCATAAAATTCCTAAAACAGTCTCTCTAGTGGAAGGGGGCAGGTTTGACAATCAGAAATTGTGAGGTTCCCTGCTTCAGTATATATCCAAAGGAATTGAAATCAGGATCTTGAAGAGACATCTGCATTCCCATGTTCATTGAAGCATTATTCACAATAGCCAAGTATGTTTTGTACATTTTAAACAATCTCATTTATTTATTATAACAAACCTGTAAGTGGGAGGTCCCTCTTTATAAATTAAAAAAAAAAAAAAGGGTTGCAAAGGCCACTAACTTGCCTGAAGCCACTAAGCCAGTGAGTAACAAGGTCTCTCTCTCTCTCTCTCCTTCTCTCTCTCTCTCTGTCTTGCTTTCTTGCTCTTGTAGAATTTGTTTTATCATTTTATCTTCTACAGTAAACTGAAAACAATACATTTAGAATTTCTGCTTTTAAAATGATACATTTAGCACATGATGCAGTCTCTCATAGGAGACCCAAATCCTTCCAAAATATACCTACGGTCGTTAAGACAGTATAGTGCTATTGTAAGATCAAATAGATCAAGGAATGGAATAAGAAACTTAGAAATTAAAACTAATAAATATTAAAAATTTAGAACTCCAATTCTAAAATCTCCAAAAATCTCTAACACCAAAACATTTTTTTCAAAACGAATGTGGAGGCAAAACTGAAAGTTAAGTGACATGAGGCTATTTGTGAACTTAAAAAAAAAAACAACCCCCCTCCCCCCCCACTTAATGTGGAGGCAAAACTGAAAGTTAAGTGACATGAGGCTATTTGTGAACTTAAAAAAAAAAAAAAACAACCCCCCTCCCCCCCCACTTAGGGCCGGCCCCATGGCTCACTCGGGAGAGTGCAGCGCTGGTAGCGCCGAGGCCACAGGTTCGGATCCTATATAGGGATGGCTGGTGCACTCACTGGCTGAGCCCGGTGCAGACAACACCGTGCTGAGGGTTGCGATCTTCTTATCCGTCAAACAAACAAACAAAAGAACCCTTAAAAGTACCTAGTTTTGGGCCGCTGTGGTGCACTCCGGAGAGAGCGCGCTGGGAGCGCAGCGACGCTCCCCCCGCGGGTTCGGATCCTATATAGGACTGGCCGGTGCGCTCACTGGCTGAGCGCGGTGTGGGCGACACCACACCAAGGGTTGCGATCCCCTTACCGGTCACGAAAAAAACAAAAAAAAAAAAAAAAAAAAAAAGTACCTAGTTTTACTACAGAAATACTGCTGTGGGCGAGTGTGGCAGGCGCGGGTCGCGCTTCCCGCGCTCTGCACCGAGGTCCCTGGCGCCGGCTGGAGGACGCCGAGCAGTGAGGGGGCCCGAGCCGGGAGCGCCTGGGGCAGCGGTCGCTGCAGAGAGGAAGGAGGGGCGGCTCTTGGCCTCGGGGCCGTGAGACGAGTTTGAGGCCGGCCACTTAGGGGGACTCGGCGGAGGCAATCTCGCCCCGGAAGCCTTGCGGCGGGTGCAGGGCTGGGGGCCTGCGGGCCCCGCTCCGTGTCGGGTGCGCCGTTTCCAGAGTACACACAGGATTATGCAGAGCGTGGATGAGGGAAGCAGCGTGACGGTCGCTGGCGTCCCGTGCTGTGCAGCGCTCTCGCGCTTCCTCTGCCGGCGTTCCAAATCCCAGCACTGTTTGTGCAGCGCTTTGGCTTCCTTCAGTTCTTCAGGACCACCTGGAAAGTGTAGTGGGCTGGTTGAGTCTCTCAATTGAGAGGTCACTGGGAGTTTTCTTGGTAACAGTCTCAGTGTGAATGGGTGTGAACATCACTTGTCTGTGTTAAGTGCCTTGTCCTCACTTTGCTTTTATCTTTAAGGACATGATGTTTGTACCGAGAAATTTCTCTCCCTACCTGCAAAATATCACCCCAGTGACTCCCCTGACCCAAAGCAGTTTCCTTTGAATCAGCCAGTTCTTCCATATTCACGCTCTATGTTCATAGGATCCTCGCCTCCTTCCTAACGTTAGCCCATTTACCAAGAGCACTGAGAGATCAATCCTTTTAGACAGAAGTTTTCTGTATCATCAGTGTTTTGATAGGATCAGTGGAGATGCTCAAAGCATCACATTTACATTTAGTTTAATTTTTTTTAACCTTTGTGTCAAAAAGGAGTTGGGGAGTTGAGTGGAATTTCACCACAGCCCCACTGTTTAGAAAACATTGTTTTGATTCAGGTGTTATTTTTCATGCTTTAGTTTTGACTTGTCCTTGGAAGGCTAAAGGCAAAGGTATGGGGGCTAGGCCACTTCCTTGAAGCTCTCAGAGCTGTAGATGAGCCGTGTGAACCAATAGGTGTAATCTTACCCCAAATACTAGTATAGTGGAAATGTGGTTTATATGACCTTCTTGTTCGTCTAAAAAGTTTTTCCTCCTCTCTTCAGAGGTAGTTTTTCCTCCTCTCTTCAGAGGTAAAATAAAAGTAAACTACACTGTTCAGCTAAGGTCACAGTTTGGCCTAGCTGGTTTTGCTTACGGTCATGCTGCAATCTGTTGGGAAAATAGGGATCACATTTTTAAATCCTCTTCCCTCCCTTTTTTCCCCCTTGGAATTTAAATGGCTGGATTTTTTCTTTTTTTTCCCTGCTTACTACTCTTTTGTGGTGTTGAAAAAGGGATCTATACCTGAGATTAACTTAAACCCCTCCTTGATCTTCTTATTGCCTGTTCAGTTTTGTGTGAAGGAAATAACTGCCCCCAAGTTTTATGTCTTGCCTTCTCTGAGTCATTGGCAGAGCAGAGAGATGCATTGAGCAGTCCCAGGTTCTTTTCACTGATCATTTCTCTCTTTTCCTCCCTGACAGAGCCAGGGAATAGTCCCTGAGTTATGTCCAAATATAGCGCCTGCATTGGGGCGTGGATGGGAGTATGCAAGACAGTGTGTGCATGTGTGTGCGTGCACAGGTGCTGAGGAGTTGCGGTTGCTCCAGGCTCAGACTTATAGTAATTTGACCCTGCACTTGGGGTCTGTAAGTATAGTTACTTATGTCATTGTAATGATTTCACTCCTGTGACATTTTTATCAAACGTGTGAATAAATACATAAAGATAAATTTTAAAAAAAGAAATAGTAATATGTTTAACTGTTTGACTACAGGCATATTATATCATACGTGATACATTCCATATGTGTCTTTTCCAAAATTTGGGACAATCTCAAAAATGGATTAAAATATAGATGTGTAAAAGTAACTTCTTTGCTAACTTGTACTTTATTTTGTGCCTTCGACAGAAAGGTATCTAAGTCTTAGCGTTTTCACATGTACAGGCCTTAAAAAGCAATTTATTACTCAAAGAAGTTCTCAAAACTCAATTATATTTTTAAGGCTTCTGGTGGAAGAGAGGGGGTTAATAATTGTTCCTGTTCTATTTTAAATGAAGAAACACAAGTAGTCTCTAGGAATAGAAAAGAAGAGATAATAGAAGAGAAAGGGCGTGGTTGATTCAGGAAGATGCTCAAGGATAATGGTGCCCTTTCAGGTGCTTATTGAACATCCCTCCTGAGGGCCCACCTGGCACAAGATTCCTGACAAGGTGATGAAGAAAGAAATATAAGTCACACAATCTGGCCATGAACTTTCTCAGGACTGAGGGAAGAGTAAAATGATAAGGAGAAGTACCAGATTCTCTAAGCTGGGACCAAAAGACTCGAAACAGGATCAACTGGATGCCAGAACACTAGCTTTTACCCAGAAGTGACACTGAAGTGAACTGCTTTGAGTTTGATCATGACTCCAGACCTACCGTCAATTGGGAACTAAGCCTGCTTTTTGCAGAATCCAGTTGGAGCCCTTGCAGAAGACCACTGCTGCTGGAGAGAATTTCTTGCACATGTCTGAGCCCTGCTGCAGAGGCAGATGAGAACCTGGCTCAAGGTGCAGTGTGTGGTTTGGACTCGGGACAGTCCTGCTCAGTGAGGAGGTAAGTGAGCCAGATATATATCTAACTGGGAGGGATCTGAATGAGTATCAGTTACAAATTTATTAGAACTAGAAATGGAATCCAAGATGGGTAAGATTGTTGCTCAAAGTTGCACAACTGAGTAGTAACTGTCCTGTAAATTTGAGCTCTCTACCCACTTGCCCATTTGGGATTTTTCTGTTCTATTTCTTCATGTACCAGAATCTGGACCAAAAGAAAAAGAGAAAAAAGAGCTTTCTTTGAGATGGAGAATGAATGGCATGATGAATATAGAGACCAAAGAAGGAGTCTTTCTATTTCTGTTCAAAGATTCCTTAAGTCACTCATTTGTAAAGTTGTTTTATTAACTAAATATTTTGTTCAATGAAATAAAACTCACTACAAAAGCACATAATCACAGATAAAACAGATAAATGGAGAGCCATGGTGATTATAGTGCATGAGGTGGGGGTGGGGAGAGACCTGCACACTGGAGAAGCCTCAGTGCCTGCGGTGGCCCCTGAAGCACTGGGGCAACACAGCTGGGCTCCATGGAGCACAGTCAGAAAACTTTCACTAGAGTCTGGGATCCTGCAGGTTTCTTGTGTAAACTGAGGTCCATGTTCTGTATCCAGATGGGATTAAAATATGGCATAGTAGCTCTCGGGAGAGTATGATGAAGAGTGTGAAAAATCAAAAGTAAAAAGTTAAATTTGCTATATTTTTAGGAAGGGGAACAAGAAGAGAGTTGTTCTTTGTATGAATAAATCACTGTCCTTCATGTCTACAATCACTTACTTGATGCATTGCCATAAGAACTTCTTCAGATGCTTCACGTAGAGAAACAGGTGAGGGAAAACTCGAAAGACCATCTTAGACACCCCATTTTCCTTTTTACTTCTTTCATCCTGAATTGCTCTCAGTCCTCAATCTAGGTTTTCTTTTGTCTTATTTTTCTGGAATTTTCCATGACCCAGAAGCCCCCATCTCTCTTCCAAGAAGTCAAATCCCTTGATGCTCATATCTTTGTAAGCATTGAGACATCCTGGAGAGGGAGAACTTCAGACACGGTCAATGTCTCAAACTCTAAGGGATACCTCATATTCCTGCCTGGGCTCATAAGTCTCTTCAGTAGAATGCATGCCCTCCAAACCAAGGAAGTTTTTCCCATAAGCATAATTTTGCAGCATTACAAAGTAGTAAAAACATGGGATTTGCAGTCAATGGGTTTTGGGTGTGACTCCCAACTCCACCACTTTGTAAGGTCTATGACCGAGTATGTCACTTAAACTTTCTGACCCACAGAAATAGGGTCAGTGATACCTATGTTACCAGTTTTTGTAGGATTGAATGAGACCAAGTGCATTCAGACCTTGTTACAGTGCCTGGCATACATTATGCATCAAATAAATGATAGTTATTATCATATGAGTATGTAAATTGGTGGGTATAGGAAGGTGGATTGTAAAATGAGGTTTGGGGGAGGGAGGGAAAGAAGACAGGGAAGTAAGATTTTTTTTTTTTTCCGATGGGATAACAATATAAAATACAAATATAAAAATAAAAGTGGTGAGTCATTGTGTCCTGGCAAGAGGGCAGAGTGAATGTCTGGCGAGAACAAATGATGAAGAAGGCTTGGTAGTCAGGCTGAGAGGGACTGGGAGCCAGAATGCACTTTTCCTATTTTAAAAAATGCATTTACTGAAAACATAACTTTACAGCATAGGTGACATATTTCATGGGGAAAATTGCATAAACTTGACATTCTACAGATCCCCAATTTTTATTTTACCCATATACTATTTCAGTCTTCTGCATTATACAGTTTTTAAAAAAACTTTTATAAAGTATTTCATAGATTATAGAGACATAACATATGACTTAATTATATTCCCATTTTATATTTGAAAAAGTTATATATCTTGAAAAGTATTCACAGCTTTTTCAAAGTAATCATCAAGGGCCTTCTAACTCTGAGTTTAATGTTCATTTTACCACCACAGCAGCCACTGTAGAATCTTAGGGCATTCTGCAAACTCACATTGCCAAGGACTATTAGGATCACTCCTGTCCTCCCAGTCCACATCAGGCTCAACCCAAAACCTGTTACATCAACAAATATCTATTTATAGCACCAGAAAGAGAACTGGATGTGAAAAATCAGAACACGTGGCTTAGTCCTGGCTCTGCAACCATCTAGCTATGTGATCTGGTGCAAGTCACTGCTCTTCCCCACATTTTCCTCATCTAAAGACACAGAGGTCAGATAACATGTCTCTGAACGTTCCTCTCACATGAAACATGCCAAGAATTTAAGCTCTAATCATTCTGAAAAATAGCTTCCCACAGAAGGGCCTTTCTCACTTTGCCTCTGGTGTCTTTTTACTCATTTTAACTCTAGGGCTCACCTGATATTGGATGTTATCAGTTGCTGAGGAAAGGCTGGGGGTAGATCAAGAAGATAGAGACTGTGTGAGGTGTCTATAATCTAAGGAGTCAGAGAGCTGGTAGCAACGACTGTAGCTGAGGAGGCGTTCATTCTTTCATTCCACAAACATTTATTGAGAGCCTTCCAGCTGGGTCTACTGCATTTCTAAGACTGTGACACTTCCTTGATCCTCTTCTCTTATTCAGCAATTATTGAGCCAGTGACAATTGTTGGCATTTGGAAGTGCATCAGTGGAAAAAAACAAACAAACAAAGACAATGATCCTTGCCTGTATGTAATATGGAATAATATAAATTCTAGCAGGGGGAGATAATTTTTTAATGTACTA